TTTGTTATGTTATACTAGTGGTTTTCATTGGATAGAGGAAAGCTCTTAGAAGTACTGTCTCCCTTTGGTTGCTTTATATGCGTAGGACATCAGCTGAGAAATAGTCTGGTTGCTTTGATATCCTGTGATTGAGGGATAACATTTTCCTTGGGGTTTGGTTAAGCTTGGAACTTGAATATTTTGAAGCAAATATATCCTAAGACTTGCCACACTTTGTGCTGAAATCATAAGCCCTTTGCATATTTTAATAACAATGTGATACAGGTCTGTTTTAAAGAAATTTGAAAAAAACAAACCTAGAAGGGATCTAGGAGGTCTTCTAGTCCACCCCCTGCTCAAGGCCATCCCAATCAAATGGTTGTCTAGTCTATTTTTGAAAATCTCCAGTGGGGGAACACCCACAACTCTGGAAGGCAAGCTATTCCACTGATTAATTTGTAAGACTTTATTTTTGACTTAGCTTTAAGAATTAGGAATTGGTAGATCTTTTGGGTGGCTTTAATTAAATTGTCTATTTTTAATTTTAATTTTTTTATTTTTATTGATGGATGGAATTTCTAGCACAAATGACTTTGAACAGGAGAAAATCTCGGTATATCTAGAGTAATGTTGATTACTAATGCAGATATTGTATTAACTTTAAAATACTGGCCTGTTGGTAAAGCGTTTAAAGTATTCAGGGAGAAATAATTACCCATTAGGTGGTTAACAGTTTTTAGTAATGACCTATATTTGCTAAACAGGAAAAAGAGCCCAGCCTGTAAGATTAATGAAAGGATGTGTTTAAAACAGCTTATCCCTGTCTTTATTTTGGTGTATGAAACTGGATCATAATTTTCTTTCATTGTTTCAATATCTTAGAACATACGGCAGAAATGGGAGGGCCCCCAGTTTTGACTTCTAACAGTATATTTCACCATACAGTATGTCTGGTGAAAAATGAAGGTGTGCCTGCCTCGCATATTTTCCATTTAGCCTGATGTTAAACGGATTGGAATGAGCTAAATGGATTGCAGTGATAAGCCGAAGCAAGAAAGAACGAATGGGTGGGTGGGTGGATGGGAGGATGAGTTGGCAGCCAAGAACTTAAAAGGGAATGTAGAGTATGGGAGAGGGGCAGAGAGATAGGAGGGAGATATGGTCATCGGATCTAGCTATGGAATGAGGGAAGTTTCAGACTAGCAATTTTAGGGAACGTGTTGGGATGAGGAATTGCCAGCTGCCGACACACATTCCAGGACTTGCTACATATTAGCTGAGCAGCTGTCAGGCTGTGTGTGAAGGCTTCTTGCAATCACACCTGCATTCCTGGACACCTTCACAATGAGCCCAAGCCCTGTTCGCTGTAGGGGACCAGCCTGTCTATATCTCTGCTGCTGCTGATCTATCTTCTTTCACTCTGGGGCGTCTCTCTTAATCAAATACATTTGTTTTGTAAAACCGTCTAAAAATAATCCCGGGCTGGTATGTGTGTGCTGGATGTTGGCAGTGAATCAAAGGCTCTGCTCTAATTAAGCAGGCCCTGGTTTGTTTGTGAGCCGCATATATTTCCATGCTAATCAGCCACACGCCAGGATCCTGCCTTCTAAGCCTCACTTCCTTTGCCTGATTGGAAACTATGCAAATGGACGGAGGGAGTCTATTTATTGCAGACTAGGAATGAGGCTGCAAACCATTTTGTGGGGCTTTATTGGAGTGGGAGGGGCAGTACTTTGGCTGGAGTTGCAAAAATAATGGATAGGCCAGTGAAATCAGTCCAATTATTTACTGTTGCACAAAGGGTATCAGTTACTCCTTTGTCATGAAATACTTTCTTAGTCCAACATTTTGCTCAAAGTCACTTAGATTTGTTGACCAGGTATTGCTGCAGTTCACAGGGAATAGAATGTAAGTATATAAAACAACACGAATCAAAACGCAAGGCTTGTCTAGTTGTAGGTTATATTTCTCACAATTGCTAACCATATAAGAAATCCACAAAGGGAGCAAGATCATAGTAGCACCCTCCTGCTTATATTTCCAACAGATTGTATAAAAGAGCATTTTGTATCTGATTGGGGAAGCATAAAAGCATTTTGATAAGTAGCCATTATGGACCACATCCACTATGAATCTGTTTTGTTCTCTTTTAAAACCCCTAAAAATGAATAGAGATCTTGGGGAAGCAAAATCGTTCATTGTACAAAGTAATGCTTTCTTTTGTCTGTTCCGAACTTTTCAACTTTCAACTTTATTATGTGACCCCAGATTCTAGTAGGTGAATGAGTGGAGCTACGTCCACACCATTGTGATAATGGATTTCAAAGGATAATCCATTCTGAATGTTTATTCATGCCACCAATTTTGGGACTGTATATAGTTTAAATGGTCATTGGAATTAGTATAGGCAATTCTTGACCTACGACCACAATTGAGCCCAAAATGTCTTTTGTTAACTGAGACATTTGTCAATGTGAGTTTTGCCCTATTTTATGATCTTTCTTGCTCCAGTTAAGTAAATCATTGCAGTTGGTAAGTTGGTAACAAGGTTGTGAAGTGAATCTGGCTTCCCTATTGATTTTGCTTGTCAGAAGGTTGCAAAAGGTGATCACATGATCCGAGATACTGCAACCATCATAAATATGAACCAGTTGCCAAGCAATTTTAAGCATGTGAAAATGGGGACACTTGCAATGGTTGTAAGTGTGAAAAACAGTCATAAGTTTTTCAGTGCTGTTGTAACATCGAATGGTCATTAAGCGAACTGTTGTAAGTCGAAGACTACCTGTACATTATCTTTGTCTAGATCAAGGGTCTTCAAACCTGGCCGCTTTAAGACTTGTGGACTTCAACTCCCAGAATTCCTGAGCTAACATGACAGGAGGAGGAATTCTGAGAGTTGAAGTCCACAAGTCTTAAAGCTGCCAGGTTTGAAGACCCCTGGTCTAGATAGATTGTAGGGCCAAAAGACGATTGAATCCAGATTTCAGGATTAAGGTTATTCCCCATTTTCTCCACAATTCAGGTTTTACAAGTTGGCTTCTAAGAGTTTTAATTGCAGAAAGGAAAAAAAAGAGACAACTTTCAGTGCAAATAGATAAAAGAGAAGCATGATGAGCATCTTGATGGCAGCTGAACGAAGAGAATTACCCTAGTTATATTCTGTCCCTATCATGAGTTGAATAGGATCTTATAATGCCTTTTAATGCCGTTATTTCCTCTGTGGTGAAAGCAAATCTTTTTGGATAAGATTTATTGTCACTATTATTAATGGGATTACAGCATTTGCTATATCCCTGCTGTGTCGGGAACAAATATGCTGATTGACCCTCACTCCTTTTATGAAGTATAACTTCTAATAGAATATACGGGCCCTTGATTGTAATGTCGAAATAGTGGTGAAATTTGTCTTCATTCTCTTGGCTCTCATTATGCACCTTCTTTGCATGGGATGTTAGTGCTTTCATGAGATCTCCAGTCCAAATGACAAAACCAAGTTTTTGAGGATCTTCTAGGATGGGTGTCATTGAGTGGTTTACTGTAGGTGCTCCACCTTCTTGATAGGCTGGAGAACCTTTCAAGGGCAATGCAACTATTAGATTATTGGAAAGTTCATTGGGTAAGGGGAGCTGGCTAAAACAAAGCATATATAATTCATCATTAAAAAAAACCCAAAGATGATTAATTCCAGTAATGATTCCAGCAAATGTACGAGATGGTAAATGCTGAAAGGTGGTAAATGTGTAATTGCTCTGGCAAAGGAGATAGGCTGTAATGACAGGTAAAAGAAAAAGGATCTGTATCCATGAGAGGTAAAGCCTCTTTGTTGGATGTGCAATATTTCTGAGGCTACCGCAAGAGAGGCTGAAGTTCACAAGCAGCTACCATTCTTCCTCCATCCAATTCAGCCCGTAGAGAAATTGATAATGGAAAACTTGCCCTAATTAAAGGATTTTTATATTTTCTACATGGTGATGGTCAGTAATGCTCAACATACCTCTTACTGGCACTTTCTCTAGAGATACTAATACACATTATCCAGTAATTGCCTGCTTCATTTTTTCAAATTTATTATTTTAACTGTAGTGCACTCAGAGTTCATAATAATGGCAAGTGGTATACAAATGCATCAAATAAATCTTCAATGAAAACCAAATGGAAATAATTGTTGTTGTTTTTTATTGTAAAAGACATAAAAGTGATAACTCAAATGTTCTTGAAAAGGCAGAGAAATTATTAACTAACCAAATGCAATTGATAATTCTTATTTTTTCTTATTTTTTTTGTTTGTTAAAAAAGCAAAAACAAATAAAGTATTTTAGGAAAATCTATACCTATTTCTATTTCACAAAGCTGCATTTTCCATTGCCAAGCAAAACCAATTCTTGGGGGTGGTACTGTTGGATACTCACATTAACTTACTCTTTCAATTATCATGAAGTTGGTAGGATAGGAAACTATGAAGTAATAATTGAAATAGTAAAGACTAAATATATGTTATGCTTAACAATGCTAATTGGGACTAGCAACTCCTTCACTAAGCACTATAGTTGTAAAGTGCAACATCACATGATTGTACTGATTTGTGTTAGTAGTTGTACTTGTTGCTGTTATGTAAATTATGGTTGCAACATTCCATGGTCACATGTTTGCCTTTTGCAATTTCCTGCTGGCTTCCCCATTGTTTGTTAAAAAGTCAGCAGTGAACGTTGCAAATGGTGATCATGTAACTACAGACACTGCAACCATTGTAATTATGAAACAGTTGACATTGCCAAATGCTGATGGTGATCATGTGACTGGGAATGCTACAGTGGCGACAACTAGGTCATTAGTTCCCCTCTTTCAGTGTCATGGTAACTTTGAACAGTTGTAAACTTAGTGCCATTCAACAAGGACTACCTGTACTTGTATAGAACTTGGAACACTGTGTCTTTGCAACCTAATAAATGAAAGCCATCTTAATTTTGCAAAAATTGCACCAATTTTCATGCTTCTTACATGTTCCCTGTTTCTTTCAGATCTTAGTTGATCCTGCCAATCCCATTGGACATTCAGCCTTGCAATATGAAAATGTGATAGCCCATGATGGCAGTCCAATTTTGCGGGATTTAGTGCTGAGCCCTGATCTGCAATATCTTTATGCCATGAGTGAGAAACAGGTAAGAATCTAAATTTGTATTACATTTCATTTGCATAAACCCCACTCTAGGGAACCCATAACCAGATGATTAGAGGTTTCTTTTTAATCTTTGCTGCAAATGGAACATTTCAAGCACAGTGCATTAACTTAGGGCAAGATTCTTTGGATGAATTGAACAAAAAATTTATAGACTGGTGATGTAGATCATTGGAATAAAAGTATTTGTATGACTGACAAGCAGCACCTTTATAGAGGGATGGCTGTTTTAAGAGATCATTTTAAAAATGAGCAGTTTTTATTGTACCATATGATAGTTTATATGAATTCACTCAGTAAATTTCAGTTTTAGCAAGCCCTACACATGGACAAAAGCAGTATAATGCAAATCAGTGTATTGCTTTCGATACCATCAATCATAGTATCCTTCTGAATCACCCCCAAGGATAAGGGATGGCCAACACAGTCTTGTGGTGCTCGCCTCATTTCTCCAGAGTCAGTTCCAGTTAGTAGTGATGCAACATCTATATGAGGCTACTGGGAGACCTCATTCATTGCTATGAGGTGAGGTATCATCACTATGTTGCTGATAATTATATATCTTTGCTCCTGGTGTATTAAGCAATGCTGTGAACATTGTAGCCCAGTGCCTGGAAGATGGAAGGGTCTGAAAATGGGATAATAGGCTTCAGGTACACTCTGGCAAAACTGAGTGGCATGGAGGACATGCCAGTTGTAAGACTATACCATCTTTGGTGCTAGAGATCCTCCTGTACTCATAATTCCTACCCTGCAGGTGACAGTTGTAGTTAGGAGGCCTTTGCATAACTTTGTGTTGTACACCTGTTGGACCTGTTCCTAGATCTGCTCCAGACAGAACAGCTCTGGGAGAAGCACTGGCTGGGTCCAATTCATGTTGCTAGTTTTAATCTTCAAAGCCCTTCATGGCATGTGACTGAATTATCTAAGGGACTGCCTCTCCCTAATTATATCTCCCGTTCCATTAGGTCTGGCAGAAGAGAAATGCTGTGGGTTCCAACTGCTAGGGAATTTGGCAGGTCCCAAGAGGTGAGCCTTCCCTGCTGTGGCACCTGCCTAATGGGACATTCTCTCCCCCCCTCCTAAAGTGAGGTTAGGTCCATCTCCTTGTCAACATGCTTGGGATCCCAGGGGACCAGTGAAATTCTAAGATGGCTCCATTATTGTGGTTGGCCTTGCAGTTTTCATATTTTAATGATGACTGTTTTTATACATTTGTTATTTTAATAAATGGTTCTAAGCTGTCCAGAGTCATTTTTGTCAAATGGATAGCCATATAAATGTGATAAAATAAATGAATAAAAGGCACATCACAACCGACTATAAAATGCCTTCTGCTTGTGGATCTAGTGGCTGGCAGTTACTACAAAAATGGATTTATGTTCAAGAATGAACATGATGGTGTATCTTCATCTATTCAATATAGTTTCCTAATAAATTCCATTTTTGTTTTTAATGGCAACAAGTACTGATCAGGTGCTTCCCTGTTTCTTTCTCCATATGTTACTACAGTACAGTAGTACATTGTGCTTGCTTTGGTTGGGTTTATTAGTTGGAACTTTGACATTGTTATTGCCTGCAAACACACAAAATCTATTGCTTGTGAAAACATTTGTACCAGCAGTTTAACCGCCCTTAATCCTTTTTACTAACAATATCTTTTCAAAAATGGAGTGCCTGGCTGATGTCTTATTGCAGTTCAAATATTTCTCAGTCCAGGCAGGCACCTATCATTGTTGGGTTAGTTCACCTATTCTGCTAAATAATTTTGTTTTATCCTAGGGTGAATGTATGAACCTAGCTATTGTGGTTTATAAACCAGAATTTATAGCATAGTGTTATTTGGGCTTTATATAATATATAGACCTAGCCACCATAAGTCGCAGAATGTTTGTTTTTTATTTATTCCATTTGTAAGGCTATCTACTCAATAGGCAATTCTATATTAATTAATATATGTATTAAGGGAGAACAAACAGATGACAACAGAAAAACCTCTCCCAAACCGTTCCCCCAAATAATGCTAATACTAATACAGGTACTGTTACTATTACTTCTACTAATACAGAAAATCTATATCCCATCAACTGTTATCCCAAAGCATCCCAAAATTGTTAAGCACAGTCCCTGACCCTCAAAAATTTGCCCATTCCTGATCTGTTTGTTTTTTTAAAAAGTGTGAATGGAGGAATGTTAAAACTCTTATTATAGTTCCTATTTTACCTCCTCAGAAACTTCCATCTGAGTTTTCTTCCAGAATTAGAGATTGACTAAGGAATAAAATGTAGACAAAAAGGTTACAACAGCAGAAATACTTTTGATCCATAATATCTCCTTGGTTCAAAATATTAAATGTCCAGATTTACTTTATATAGAGAAGAGGAAGGTATGGGTTTCAATAGTGGAACTGTTGCAAGTACATTTAATTTTGCAATAAGAGGAATCAGGCTTTTCCTCACCATGTTTATATCTGATTGAACATTCAGTTGTTTGCTCATGGAATGAATAAAAATATTTAGTTGAAGTGGAATGGAAAGATAAACTTGTTTATTCATTTAATAAATGTATATGCTACTCCAATAAAGTGACTCTGGACAGTATTCAAAATGCCATTGCTTGAAAGCAAATGTAGATGCATTTAGCATCTGTTCTAAACTTATTAGAACTCTCTTGGGAAAAAAACACTATTTGTCAGATTGACTTTGCTATAGGTATTATAGAAATATCTTCTGTACTATTTGAGCAAGATAAACAGGTATTAATATAGGTAAGAAATGCCAGAAATGGTACTGCCTATGGAGATTCTCAATCATCCAGGTCATCTTTGTCATAAAGGTGCTTTTCAAAAGGCAGCCAAGAAGCTGAAGAAACTTCTTGGATGAGAAGCAAAATGTTTTTAAGGGACGAAACCAAGGAAGTTCAGTTGCCCTTTGAAAAGCACCTTTGGCATATGGGTGGTATTGTGGCTAATTGTTTCAATATTCAATATGTCTGCTGTGCGATTCTCCAAGGTTAAAGGTCATGATGACTTGCATATTCATGTGCATGCTTGTAAGCATGTCCACATGTGCCAAATATATTGGTTACAGAAAAAAAAATTCTAAGAAAGTTTTTAGTGGGAATTGCCAACTCCAGGTAGTCAGGCAGGGGTAGCTAGGGATTGCACGGGACTTCTATTTGTTTGTTTTTTTGGAAAATCTTTAATTCAGGATCTTCCTAATTGAAACTTTTAGATACTTCTAGGTGTTGCCTACATGTACTGCTCTGCATTACAGATATCTAGTCTGGAGGTGTCTGTAACATCAGTTGTATCCAGGGGTGGGGTCAGAGGTGGTATTCATCAGGTTCTGACCAGTTCTGGAGAACCGGAAGCGGAAATTTTGAGTAGTTCAGAGAACTGGCAAATACCACCTCTGACTGGCCCTGCCCCCATCTATTCTCTGCCTTCCAAGTACCAGCTGATCAGCTGGGTCTTCTTTTGTTGCCCTGCATAGGAGAACGGAGCTGGAAAGCAGGTTAGTGGCATGGGGAAGGAATGGGGATTTTGCAGTAACCTTCCCCAAGGAGTGGGGTGGGAATGGAGATTTTACAGTATCCTTCCCCTGCCATGCCCACCAAGCCAGACCCGCCAAGCCAAGCCACGCCCACCAAGCCACACCCACAGAACTGGTAGTAAAAAAAATTGAATCCCACCACTGGGTGGGATTCTGCCAGTTCGGACTTGTACAGGTGAACACCTATCTCTGAAGATCAGCTAGGAGCGAACCAGTTCGCTCTGACGATCATGTGGGCCTGCCCACCTGCCCCTGCACTGTACTGACCTTTATCGTCTCAGCTGATCAGTGCGGAAGAGCAGATTGCTGCTCTTCAGCTATGTTGCTCCCCCAAATTAACATAGCAGGTAAGGATTTTTGAATTGCTGTTCATGCACGGGCAGCGAACCGGTTGTTATACTGGCAACATCCCACACCTGGTTGTATGCCTATGACTGTCTTCTTCAGGAAAAGATATACAAAAGCACTTGTATAAATGCACCACAACCATCTGATTTAAGTTCATCTGTTTAAATGCGAACACTTCAAATGGAAGAGTAAACTGGTATAAAAACATATGGTTCAGGCATGTAAAATAAAGGCACTACAAACTCTCTAAACAGTTTACTAAACAGTTTACTATGCCATTCCTTCAGAGGTTTTATTTTAAAACAGATGAAGACATTGAAAAAAAAAACTTGGTTCTTCTTTCGTGTAAAATGGCATTTTGAAATGTTTGCAATCACAGTGGAAAGGTAATGAATACAGACAGTTGTCAGCTTACGACCACAAGTGAGCCCAAAATTTTTGTGGCTAAGCAAGACAGTTGTTGGGTTTTGCTCCCTTTTATGACCTTTCTTGCAGCAGCTGTTAAGTGAGTCATTGCCATTGTTAACTTAGTAGCAAGGCTGTTGAGTGAATCTGGCTTCCCCATTGAGTTTGCTTGTAAGAATTGTCCCAGGGTCATAGGATCACAAAAGGTGATCCTATGACCCTGGGACAATGCAACTGTCGTATACACGAGTCAGTCTGAATTTTGGTCATGTGACTATGGGGATGTTGCAACGGTTGGAAATGTGAAAATGTTCATAAGTCACTTTTTTCAGTGCCATTGTAACGTCAAATTGCCACTAAATGAATGGTTCTTAGTTAAGGACTACCTGCATACCCATCTATAGATTGGATGATCTATAGATTGGATAATCTCTGGCTAAAACATTGCAGAAATAGACCAGTCTGAGAGATCATGGACTAGTAGCCCCAAACGAGCCCAGAAAGTTGTTTCAGTCACCTTAGCTAACAGGTACCTAGGTGTACCCTGCTTTATCATGAAAGGGTGGGGCATAAATCTTATAAATGCATAAATAACAATTAAATTTGAAATGAAGGATAAATTCTGCTCAGAAAGAGATATATAATATGTGGCTGCTCTTTAGACAAGAGAAATACA